ACGCGCATTTATTTGGGTGAAATTTTCAGGAAGGCCTAGATCTTGATCAGATATTTTTCCTAAAAAAGTATCAAAACGAGTTAATGTGGCTTTAATTTGTCCACGACGATAAACAAGAAATCCAAGTTCTGATTTTGCTTCAATTATCGGATTGGGTACTGGAGGGTCCATTTTTGGCTCGAACTTTACAATAGAGTAGATGATAAATTCGCAGTAGGCACAATTGCACTCTAAAAAATAATATTAGGTGAGAATGATTCAAAACAAGTTTCAGGATTGCGAAATTGCAGGATGATATAAGTATTTTTCGAAATGAGTAGGTAAATTAGGTAAAGTTATATGTAAGTATACGTAATATTTAGAGGAATATGAATATCGGCCCCAAAGGGAGCAAAACAGCTTGCAAACGATTTATCTGTCAAAAAGCGTCAAGCTTTCAGAAAAATATAGAATGGACTGACCTTGGGTTTTTAGCTGGACTTTTTTTACTGATTTTTTCTTCTTTTTCTGGCTAAATCATTCCATATTCGGCATACGAAGGACCATGATGAGGGCAGGATGCCCAATTTTGTCGCAACCTTGAAGAATAGGTACCTTCTCGGTATTGCGCTGTGCTGCTACGGGATATCAGCGATGATATCCTTGAATGGAAACACTTGGACCAATGCTACGTCTAGTGTTTATTAATTGAATAGACCCAGCTCTGAGTGATTGATCTATGTAGGTATTTTTATATAATTAAAAAATCGTGACTAACTTTTTTAAAACTTGAATGACAACTCTATCAACAACGGGTTGTTATGCATTATTTTTCCGATTGTTTCTCATTCTGCCTACTCAATTTGATAAAGGCTGTTTATTATTAAAAAAAATGCAAACAGTAGATGTGAAGTTGTTTAATAGACGTCCAGCTAGAAAGCCAATAGTTTCGGGAAGAAATAGAGCAGCAAGGTTGGCATTTGCACATCAGCATTTGAGCTAAAAATTTGAAAGGAATAGAAAAGCAATGGGAAATGTTATCGTAAATATCGATTAGTGGATGAAGAGCTAATTTTATCAATGTAAAAAAATTATACAGGGTGTCCAACGACGTTTTACCCCGGTGATGATTTTGGAACGCGTCATCGTATGTGTAATTTTTTATCTTAAATCAAAGCCCTATCAAATATGGCATTGCCGATGTAGTAATTTAATTTTCTAACGAAAATAAGATTGTAAAGTTTCCGTCACTTGACCAAAACTGAAGCGAAAGTGATGAAATTTGAAGACACATGTAGAAGCGACACAAAAAAGTTACCAAAATCCTCAAAATTTCAATCACATTGGATGACGTGGTAAGAAGTTATCACCTGGGATTCTGGGAATCGTTGTGAGACTTCCTATATAATAGAAAATAATTGTTATATCTACACCATTTCCAAATCCAAGCGGCAGTAAGACTGAAGACACAATGACAAATACAAGATACAAGTGACAAGAGACAAAAATATAATAAGACGTGTATTTATCAATTACTGTATTCCTTTTATACATCGAGTTACACCGAACGAGCTCCTCGGAGTCACTCCAAAACACACAATAGGGAACTTGCACATTTTTTTTTTTTAATTTCAAAAATGTGTTCTACGACACTAAAGACATAGTCATGCCAAATATTAAGCATTAAAAATAAGCCGTTAATTTTTTATAAATATTTGAAGTTACGCTCGAAACATCGCCATTTGAAACGACCGATTTGTGTGACGTCACTCGGCAACAAAATTCCGATGACAGTGACACCTCGAACTTCAAGCAGGTAGAATAAGATTATATATAGCATTTGTAATACCCATTTAGAATAACCCCATCCTTATTTATCAATCACGAATCAGATGAAACAAAAAATTACCAACAAAAACAAACGTCGATTGCTACTACGTCAATTTCATCTACAAATAGGAAATTCCTAACCTCATTTTATTTGTGTGTCAAGAAACGACATACGTTTTGTCACTAAAACGGCAAGTACTTCTAAATAGGTATTAAAAATACTATAGTTATGTTGTTATGTATGCAGTTTTTGATAGATTTGACATTTGCGACATCAGCAGTACATGACGTGGCACCAGCGCGACCCGATTATTACTGCCTTGTGACGTCACGACCTATAGAAATCCGTTTTTGATCGCGTCATGAATTTTGAATTATTTGGTATATTCAATTGAAGATTTTAGACACCAGAGATAAGATATTAATTTTTTTTCCTCATTGCATCATTTGCTAGGATGATTGTTATGGTGTTTTGTTATTTATTCCATATTTAATTTAATGTGCAAGTTCCCTATTCAGATTTTATCCAAATTTTTTAGTATTAACATTACCGTCATTATCTAAAAGAGCTTCTTGCACCCCCCGCAAATTTGGTGCATCAGGGGAAAGGGGGATGCACTATGAACGACTCGAGTGCTCAACGCACTTTTAAAAGGAACGTTGAAACTTTTGACATTGAGCAGCTTCGAGTAACTCAACGGGTAAAAGAAATACAGTAAATGCTATAACTCAAAATAAATGGATATAAGATACAATTTACTTGCCATGACTCGATACAAAATTTCGATTTTTTGGTATTTTGTATATGTCTCTTGTACCTTGTATTTGTCATTGTGTCTTCAACTTAAATGACATTAGATAACCTAAATTGCAAACAAACACAGCCTATTGGTTGAAACGCCCTACCTGAACCACCCTGAACTAGAGCGCATGCACGGAGGACATTTGATAGGTTGTGATGAAAATGACCAGTTGTGTCATTTACTGCCGCTTCAATTTGGTTCAACCTTAGAGCCGTTTTACACGGCAAAGTTTCTTCACGAAATTGTTGCCGAAATATTTCGTAAGTTAACTTTTCCTGTTTTACACGACAAGAAAAACTTACGAAATATTTCGCCAATAAACTTTAGAAAATGTTCTATAGTTTTTGTGGGCGCGGCCGAGAAAATGCGTTAGTTTCGGCGAACACAATTACAAAATAAAAGGCGCATTCTTTTCCTTCGAGCCTTATGAATCCGTCATTGGATTTCTTATGTAATAGATAAAGATAGACTGTTTATCGGTGGGTCAACAGGTGAAAAAAAATGTTGCGCCAAAAAAAATAGGGTTGGAGGGAGACGATCAGCTGGGCAAAGCACTGATCTCAAAAATAAATGGATAAACAAAGAACGCTTCTAATGCTGCTAATTTACGAGGTCTTAATCTAAACAAAAACAACTGACTGGGACAGCTGTGAGCGTGCGCAGTAGATACATGTACGGTGCGTGCACAAAATCTGGCCAATGAAAATGAAGGAATTTCAAAATTTAGAACAGTTGTTCGAAAGATAAGACACTGCGCAGGCGTTAGGCTGTTCCGCTGCACAACTGTTCGTAGAATATTGCCCCAAATTTTTGCACAAATTTTGCCAATCCATCCGTATAATTGTTTATCCATTTATTTTTTAGATCAGTGGGGCAAAGCCAAAAGTAACAAAACTTTATTTATGGAAGGAAAGCAGAAATTCAACTTTATGAAACTGCAAAAGAGTACAAAGATTCAACAACAATTAGAAAACGCAAGTTTTATTTGTTTTGGTTTACCAATGTACCAAAGTATGAGGCAGAGGTTATTCTGAGGATTTTTTTCCACTGCACAGAGAAGTGAAGCTATGATGACGTATGAAATAGATGCTGATAAGCTATCAGTGATAAATCCATTCACGAATTTAGAATTGCCAAGTACAGTAGATATTGAAGGGGTTCGTCGTATTTTAGGGAAAGATCTTTGCTTAACTCAATACAAGTTAGATTATGACAAAAAACTAGAACATCCTTAAATAGAAAAATTGCAGAAACTGACGCTTTCTGAATTCTGATGAGTTGGTTAACTTTTTAACCAGTTCTTCGGAATTCCTTAATGCATCTAAAATTTTCGCACAGGTCTTGAATGCTAAATCGCATAAGGCCGGTTTCTCAATAGCAAGTTACCCCCGATTTGAGCATAATTGCAGGGTAAACATTGCAATTGGAAACGTTTAACCTGGAGTTAAAACCAACTCGGAGGTGACTCGCTATAAAGACTTATAAATATCAGCAATACATTAAAAAGCCTATTCCGAAGTAGATTGTTCGTAGATTCTGGAAACGAATGCGATCTCCGACAAGCCATTATGGTTTGGTCGAATGTGTCAGCACAGAGTCTTGGAAACTGTACAGGTCAAACAAGAAAGATGGTACAAAGGTATTTATGCTGAAGCCAATGCTAACAATGAGGATGGATAAGCGGAGAGTTTAGAGATGGTTTTGAGGGAAAAAGTAGCAAGAAATCTTAGAATAAATGTAGGTATTGATAATGCTATTGTATTCTCATATGTAGCATATTATGTCAACTATATTATTTTTAGTTTGTTGTGTTTTTAAGTTTTTTGTTCATAATAAATGAAAAAATAACTATGTACACAAATTTCAATTTCCCTCTGCACAATATACTTTTCCTACTGCACATTTTGTGTCCAACTGCACGTTAGAATAACCTCTGGCATGAGGTTATGATTTAATATTAGTGATGGCAAAAAGGTTATTGCGACTGCGTATGACTAATATTTTCACGAAACTTTTGCTAAATTTTATTTGCCGTGTCAAACAGGTAAAAAGCGAAACAAGAATAGTAAACTTACGAAATATTTCGGCAATATAATTTCGTGAATAATTTCGTAAAGAAACTTTGCCGTGTAAAACGGCTCTTAGTGTTTCCTATATTTCCCAGTTACATTGTTTATCTCTCACACTCTCTCTTTCTTTCTCTTTCTTTAGCAATTAATAAGAAATTAATCAATCTCTCCCTGAATCTTTGCTTAGGTATCTCTTCATATTGTAATATGTATCATTCTCTCGCAAATTACCCAAAATACAAAGTTTCACTTGTTCTACCGCAATGAGTAGAATCACTTTAGTGTAAAATTACAAAAAAGTACGAATTTCAATTCTTACCATCTGATTTTCGATCTGCACTTTGTGATCTGAAACTGGTTATTCTTCTTACAGCATTAGGACTACCTCCAATGATTTGGGATGGTTGAGCATATACCACGCCGCTGGATTGTGATAAATAGGAAACCTAAAAAATGACAAATAATATAAATTGCTTAAGAGACTTTTTCTGAAAATCACTTCATTAACACATGAGTTATATCACGTCTATTTGCTGAGTCCTCATTTAAAATGCTTATTCTGCTTTTCAGCTTATTATAAATATATGCATTTTCTTAGGATAGTTAGTCAGTTGAAATTTATTATACTTATAACTTTTATTGTAACGTGCTTTCGCTAGTAATAATTTCGAATTGTTAATAAAGTCATTTTTTAAAAACCAACCCTCGGTTGCTGACTTGTTAACTGGCGCAGTCGACAGGACGTGTTTTTTCGGGACTGTTTATCGGTTCTTCGGTATTCGGACTAACCGAAAAAATCGGACTTACGTTAATTGTTTACTGTGAGGTGTCAGAGTGGCTTTCTAGATATCGAAACACCCAGTTCATCGTGAACCTGTTACCTCGAAGTAATCGGAGTTTGGAACCAAATTGTCCAAATCTCGCAAGGACCAAGAACCATTTGGAAGGACCATATCGCCAACCAAACCTCTGGGACTTATAGCAATGAAATTCTTCCTATTCAGTCTGTAAGTGCAATTTAACTTATGTCTGACGTAGATGAAATAATTGAAATTGAATAATTTATCATTACCGCCTTCAACTGACTCATCTTCTGATTCGGAAGATTTAATTAGAATAATTAATCAAACATTTTCTGAAAGTAACGGTGCCGAAAGCACATCTTTTGATAATCAAAACATTTGCATTGTTCCGAATTTAAACCCTAACACTATGGCTCATTTCAAGCCAGAGTACCTTAGTTGTGTACCACAATTTGACGGAAATCCGAATGATTTGAACAGATATTTATCAGTATGTCAAAGCCTCATTGATGCTTTCTATAATGCTGCTCAACCAGATAGTTTTCAGAACATTTACTTGCTGAACTCGATAATCGGTAAATTAACCGGTAACGCAAAATTAGTTTTGGGAACCCAAAATGTAACAACTTGGGACCAACTTAAAACTATTTTGGACAGGCATTTTGCTGACCAGCGCGATGAAGCTTGTTTAAATCGCGATTTAGTAATGCTTAGGCAACAAAATGGTGAAAAACCTAGCCAATATTACGATCGTATTTTACATATTTTAAATCTTTTATGTTCCTACGTGGATATTCATGAAACAAATGACGCTGCAAAATTGCTGAAACGTAATTTATACAATGATTTAGCTTTAAAAACATTCTTATCGGGCCTAAGGGAACCATTAGGCACGACAATTCGTTGTATGCGTCCACGAGACCTTCCGCAAGCTCTACAATTTGTTACTGATGAGTATAACACTCAATATTTTCAGAATTTTTCTAAACCTCATACACAAAAAACCATACAACACAATAAAACAAACACACAATTTAGAAACACACATTTTAACCCGGGATTTAATAGCCAAACGTCTAACAATTTATTTACGGCTAAGCCAACATTTCCATCTCAGCCTATTGCTGTGAAACCAAATTTTAACAAAATCCCACAAAGATTCCCTACCAATTCCCAAGTATTCAAAAATAAATCCAACAAAAACTCAACAAATGTATTTAAACCCAATCAAAATAGAACTTTCCCAAAACCTACTCCTATGTCAACAACTTCGAGGCAAACCAATGCCAATGCTCAACAACCTTCTAGAAATTATTTCCAGTCCAACCAACCAAGTAATTTCATAGCTGAAGAACTATATAATACGAACGTAGTTGACGACGTTAACGAACCTCATGTTGACATTAATGAAAGTGACCCAGAATCCCTATACTACGATTCATCTAATTTTGACCAACTATATGATTCCGAGTCTAATTATAACACCCAATATGTTGAGTCTGCTGATGACAATAATGCAACTGGTTACTCTTATGATAACGCAAATTTTCTGAATCATGCCTCGGAAAATCCCCAAACTTAACACCCGAAATAATATCGTTGAATAATGCTTCTACAAGCGAGCTTCCATACATTATATTCCCAGAACACAATTTAAAAATTTTAATAGATAGCGGTTCCACTAGATCATTTATAAATCCTGAACTAGCTCAAAAATTGTACCCGGATAATATATTTGATTACCCATTTATTGTCTCCACCGTTTTTCAACAATCAGCACATAAGTACAGTGCTCAAATTCCCGCACCTAAAATCTTTAATTTACCACATAATAAACCTCTAAAATTCTACCTATTTAAATTTCACAACATATTCGATGGTTTATTAGGGCTTGATAATCTTAAAAAGTTGCAAGCCAACATTAATTTTGATACAGCATTTCTAGTAACTCCACATGCAAGAATTAAGTTGCAGTTCCATAAAACTGACACATCAATATATAATGTTACTGTTTCTCCTCGAGTTGAACAACTTGTGAAAATTAAAACTGATATACAAGACGGCGAGGTTATTATACCCTACCAGAGGATACATAACTGCGAAATTCCCAACTCGCTGAGTATCGCAAAAAATGGTTATGCTATTACTAGCATTTTGAATAACACTTGCAAACCAATAACCCTTGATATTTCCCAATCATTTAAGGTAGAACCATTTAATCGAGAAGAATTGGAAAAAATAAATCTAAATAATTTCGAAGACTCACTTGATTACAAACCCAATTTTGACTGTTCTCAAATTCGCACCGATCATCTGAATGCAGAAGAAAAATCGAAAATCATCAAATTATGTGAAGAATACTCAGATATATTTTATCAAGAAAACATGCCCCTGACATTTACAAGTGAAATAAGACATTCAATTAAAACCACTGATGAACAACCGGTATATAGTAAAACCTATAGATACCCTTTTATACATAAAAAGGAAGTCGAATCACAGATGAAAAAAATGTTAGACCAAAAAATCATTCGCCCAAGCAACTCTCCCTGGTCATCGCCAATTTGGGTGGTCCCAAAGAAAGCGGACGCTTCTGGAAAGCAGAAATGGAGAGTAGTAGTAGATTTTCGTGGCGTTAATGCAAAAACTATAACAGACAGATACCCCCTACCGAATATAACCGACTTATTAGACAAATTAGGAAAATGTCAATATTTTACTACATTGGACTTGGCCAGCGGATTTCATCAAATACAGATGAATAAGAACGACATACAGAAAACCGCATTCAATACGGAGAATGGTCATTACGAGTTTCTTCGTATGCCGTTTGGACTGAAGAACGCCCCCGCCACGTTCCAAAGGACCATGGACAGTATATTACGAGGAATCCAGAACGAAAAATGTCTTGTGTACCTCGACGATATTATTATATTTTCCACGTCACTACAAGAACACTTAGAACGACTCAAATTGGTTTTCCAAAGACTACGTGAAACCAATTTCAAAATTCAATTGGATAAAAGTGAATTCCTCAGACGAGAAGTAGCATATTTAGGCCATATAGTAACACCAGAAGGAGTACGACCAAATCCAGACAAAATCAAAGCCATTAAAAATTACCCAATTCCAAAAACAACAAAACAAATCAAAGGCTTTCTCGGACTACTCCGATATTATAGACGTTTTATAGATAATTTTGCAAAAATCACAAAACCCCTCACGAAATGCTTGAAGAAAGGTGCAAAGATTGAACACAACCAAGAATTTATCGAATGTTTTGAAAATTGCAAAAAATTACTTGTAAATGAACCTATACTACAATACCCAGACTTTTCGAAGACATTTAATCTAACATGTGATGCTAGTAACGTAGCCCTAGGTGCTGTGTCATCACAAGGGCCCATTGGACAAGATTTGCCCATAGCCTACGCATCTCGCACCTTGAATGATTCAGAACAAAATTATTCCACTATTGAAAAGGAGTGCTTGTGTCTTTGCCAATGGCTTTTCAATTATAAAGACCCCACATCGAAAATGGTACGTTGGCGAATCAAACTACAAGAGTTTGATTACCAAATTATTTATAAAAAAGGTAAACTCAATACAAATGCAGACGCCCTAAGCCGTATTGAATTACACACTAAAGAAACCGACAATATATCGAATCTAGTATCATATATTGAAGAATTCAATAAAGAATTAGAGGAAGAAGCTAGAATGGAAAATAATCCAACGACCAGCAAAGAGATTGAGAACCTAGACCAAATATCAACTATGGCGCAACCTGACCTCGAAGCAACAGCTGAAGACGATAACGAAACTATCCATACTAATGCTGAACAAGACCCTATTGTTGGAATTCCAATTAAAGAATCTGCTGTTAACTATGGAGCAAATCAAATAATCGTCACAAAGGTCATGCACTCACCAGCCAAAACAAAAAGACTAATTTTATTTGAAAAGAAGAGAAGATTTTTAGTTCAAATATCAGAAAATGATTTTGAAAATGATACAATTAATTTTATAAAAGAAAACGTTGTGCCAGGTAAATTATACTATGCTTATTTCGAGAACCCAGATACATATGAACCATTCTGCGAAGTGGTTAGGAAAAATTTTAAATGACCCTCGATTAGAATTAAAAGATGTTTGAAAAAATTAATCGACATAGTAGACAAACAAAGTATACCGGAAATAATACAGAACTACCATGAGAGTAAGACGAACCATCGCGAAATCGAGGAAACCGAAATGCGTATTAAAGAAAAGTATTACTGGCCAAATCTTAAAGAGTCTATTCAATCGTACATAAATGAATGCGAAATATGCCAACAAAGTAAATACGAACGACACCCATTAAACATGGAAATGAATATTACACCCACGGTAACCAAACCTTTTGAAACTATTCACCTTGACACATATACATTAGATAAAGTTAAATTTCTCACAATCATTGACAGTTTTTCCAAGTACGCACAAGCTTACGCCCTAAATTCATTGTCAGCCATCGAAATTAGCGATAATTTAATATCGTTCTTTTCACATCACGGTGTTCCATCCAAAATCATTTTAGACAACGGAACTGAATTTAAAAATACAGTGGTCACAGAACTATTACAACTTCATAAAATAAAAATTCATTTTTGCTCGCCCGAGCACCCCCAGTCTAACGGAGTTATCGAGAGGGTACACTCCACTTTATCCGAACACGTAAGAATTCTAAATAATCGTGGCTTCCTGAAGACACCTATCAGCCAAAAAATGAAATATGCAATCCTAGCATATAATCACACCATCCATTCGGTGACTAAATTCAAGCCAATAGATGTTATTTCAGGACACATTAGCCCAAACGATCCATTTGACCTAAAATTAGACCAACTTTTATTGACAGATTATGTCACAGAACATAAAAATAAGTCTAAACTCTTATATTCAACCATCAATGAAAAACTTATAAATCAGAAAGAAAAAATCATAGGAAAGATTAATGAAACTTCCGATAAACCAACATTATTCCACCCAGAACAAAAAATATACATTAAAAAGCAAACACGTCAAAAACTAGCCGATAAGTTTACACCTCAGACACAAGTGGAAACCGTTGACCCAGTACGTAAAACAATTGCAACGACCTCCCACGGAAAAGTACACATGGGTAACATTAAACGTCCCTTGAGAAATAAATATAGTTTTGACACCTAGTTTTAAGAATAAAATATTATATTACAATTACTCTAATTAACTATTTTAAATGCATTTTATATCATACGCTTGCTTATTAGCTTTATAACAATAAATATTATATTTCAGTTTCTTTGCCTACGCGTTTGGGACTCAAGAACAAATAATCATCAGAAAACTGGATGACAATCCTGGCATAATTCCAGTCAAATTAGGGAATGCGAAAATCAAAGATTACACCTACACCCTGATACATTATTATGACTTGAACCCAATAATACGTGAAATAAATAAGCTTCACGTAAAATCTAATAATATTACAAACATTCTTAATGGACATCAAGACTATTCTGAAGACATTAGCAATTACATAAATTTGTTGAAAATAACACAGAATAGAATTGATACAAAAATATCAGAGATTATTCCTCAGCCACAAAGAATTAAAAGAGGACTAATTAATGGCTTAGGATCAATATTCAAATCTGTAACTGGAAACCTAGACGCATCGCATCTGACGGAGAACGTTACGAGCATATCATTAGGGAATTACAAAACAATCAAAATAGTTTACAAGAAAGTGTTCTGAAAGAAAACTCGCTTTCTCTAACAGTAATCGAAAAATTTAACCAAACCATTAAACAAATAAATCACAACGAAAAACTTCTAGAATCAAAAATTAACCAAATTGCACACATGGTACAGAAGGCAGCATATAGAGAAAATTCCCTCTATATCAAAGACATAATAAATCAAATAGTCAATATCTATGAGATAATTGACTCTATTTTACAAGATATAGAAAATTCCTTAACTTTTTCAAAATTGAAAATTATGCATCCAAGCATAATAAAAACTGAAGACCTCTATCATGAATTAAACAAACTTCAACGGCGTTTAAGTTCTGAACAAATGCCCCTAGCGGTTACTTTGGAAAATACTTCACATTTTGAAAAAATAATTGAACTGGAATCTTTTGTCATCAATAATAGAATAACATACCTAATACATATACCAATAATGTATTCGGAAATTTTTGATTACTTTCATTTATACTCGGTTCCAGTACTTTCTCAGAGTCAGTTTAAGGTTGTCTTACCGCGAAACAAATTCTTGCTGAAAAATAAATTGCACTACACATACTATGGCCAAGAATGTCAAGAAGTCACTCCGAAGTCCCATATTTGTGGAAAAGAAGACATTCACAAAATTCAAGAAGACAGCCCATGCGAAATTAAACTACTCCACTCTGACAAAAATACCTCCACCTGCGAACAAACCAAAGTTGAAGTCCCACAAATTATCATCAATCGATTGGACGATTCCAACCAATGGATATTGGTTGTTCCTGTCAAAGAAGCCATCCAACTCAAGTGCTTTCAACAAAAAGAAGTACAAAACATCATTGGAACATTTATGCTCCAAATACCGATTGGTTGCCAAGTGGCCACCGCTTCCAAAATAGTCATCAATGAAAATAGGACAATCAAGACCGATATTCAACCGATACTGTTTCCTGACATACCAAATACACTCGGCATGATGCCGACCCTCAATCTAAGTCGACATCTAAATTATTTGAAGTTGGACGACCTTCACCAATTGAGCAAAGAAGTATTGGACATACGCCCACAACTGAGCTTCACCGAAATCAATAGATTGCCCAGCCTTGGGACAATCCTTATATATGTCCTCATCGTTATTGCCTGTATCTTCTTGGTTTACATGAAATATGTAAAAGCTGCCATGAAGAAGAAGAGGTCCACCCCTGTTCCAGAAGAAGACCGGATTATTCAACTCCCCCGCTAGCGTGAAAGTTGAAGCTAAGAAGGGAGGAGTTATATCACGTCTATTTGCTGAGTCCTCATTTAAAATGCTTATTCTGCTTTTCAGCTTATTATAAATATATGTATTTTCTTAGGATAGTTAGTCAGTTGGAATTTATTATACTTATAACTTTTATTGTAACGTGCTTTCGCTAGTAATAATTTCGAATTGTTAATAAAGTCATTTTTTAAAAACCAACCCTCGGTTGCTGACTTGTTAACTCATGTAATAAAAGAAATGACGTGTGCATCCATGATTAAAAATTCCAATTAAATTTATTCTCGGGTTAAATTCAAAGTTGGTGTTAAATGATAGTTTATGAAAATCTAAGACAGAAATGTGGAATCGGTTTTCCTCTAAAATTAACCGTTTAAGTTATACAGCTTGTTAAAGTTGCAAAATAGTTACCTATTTTTACCTAAAATTTTTTCAACAGATGAGTCCTGAAAAACTTCTCTAGGTACGTGTGACAAACACTATTTTTTGTCATACGTTTTTAGAATTCTTCAGAACGCTAAAATTTGCAAAATTTCCTTAATTTTTGAATTCATAAAGGTGCATCCAGAAAGAAAAAAAATCCTAAAAAGAAGCATTTTACGGACTTGAATGAGTCCGTAAAATAGCTGTTTTTGGGAGCGTATGACAAAAAGTCAATTTTCAACTGTCAATAATAGTTCCAAAAAAGTTGAACTTAGGTATAGGGTATATTACATGAAATCTGCTTAAATTTTCACGTAGAATCCAAATATGCAATTACATACAGGGTGTCACATTAAAAATAAGCACACTGACGTCTAGTTCCAGTATAACCGGAAGAGTCTTGAAAATATTTTAGCTGGGTTGCTTCCATAAATTTTCAAAAATTTTCTGCATACAGTTTCTCAGATATAGATCGATTTGTTCCCGGTGGGACACTCTGTATAGGATGGAGAAAATGCAAATATTTTAAACATGTTAATGCCGTTCATTGCTATAAATTTCGGAATTTTGGACACATGGTGCAACAATGTACACCTACTAATATCATATGTCCCAAATGCAGTGAAAATCCTTAGTGAAAATCCAAGTTTGGACACATGGCGCAACAATATACACCTACTAATATCATATGTCCCGAATGCAGCGACAATCCCAAACAAGATGAATGTAGAGGTGATATAAATATTTGTGTAAATTGCAAGTAGGTATGCATCAGAGAAATGCTAAAAATTCCACATGTAAATTATCAATATACAGCTTACAACAGACACTGTGAGGCTCATAAAAAAATATTTGAACAACTACAAATGAGAGTCATCTACCCTGATACATACAACAACCCAAAAAGATAGCAGTTAAAAAAGAACAACATAATGTATCCAAACATAGAAAGTTTCCCAGCACACAGAACGAAACTTATAAAGCTAATAAATAAATGGAGACCTACAGTCCTATGCTTTGTAGAAACAGATAAAAACAGAATTACAAGAAAATGAACTAGAAAAAGAAGGATACAAAAGGTTATATGCCTATTCTACAAGCCAACACATAGGTGGATCATCAATATATGCCAAGGAAAAATTTAAATTTAAAAAAGTTATCAAAAATATATGGATTAGTGGACTTCATATAAAAATTAACAACAAACATTATACCTCTACCATTCTCCAAATGCGAGTGCCAGTGATTTCCTGTTGAAACTAGAAGATATATTGCATGAGTATGCAGTTAAACCAGATATTTTATTGTTATTAGGAGATTTTAATATAGATCTGGACAAGGACACATTCTATCCAAGAAAATTTTTAAAAAAATAATTGAGCTTCATCAGTTAATACAACAATTCACAAGAATTACACAACAAAGCGCTACAAAAATTGACCTTCTCATTACCAGTGACAAATCCGAGAACAAATCTAAGTACACCCCAAAAATAGCAGATCATGCACAATTTTAATAAACTGTAGTTTCAGTTGGACCTATTTAACTGTGTATGGCCGGAAAATGTTCAAAATTTTGATGGTATTGAAGCCTACTAGTGGAAACCATTAAAGAAAAACTTGATCATTGCGCTACTATGTAAGTGAAAGAAATGGTATGTAAATGGGACAAGCAATGGTGGATTACCCTATACAAGGTGATCCAGTATAAAGTGAACACCCCCTACCTTTCCGCTTAAAAATTGATTTTGAAAAAATCAAGATAATCATTTGAGGTATTTTGTTTCTAGGAATTTGAAAACGTATTTCAAGATTTTTTGTTAAATGGTTTTAAATCGTCATCCAAAAAATAATTTCAAACTTATAAACCAGAGTTTTCAAAATCTCTCATTGAACATTCTTAATGCAATCTATATTTGATTAAAAATATAGGAATATGATATGGGCCATATTACCAAAGAGTATACTCAGTTATCAACTTCTCACTCACTTTGGTTTGACTCTGGAAAGTACTCAATACAGGATTCGAACCGGACATGGCCATAGTATTTCCTGTTGGCTGAAAGCTGCTCTGCCTTTCGACATTTCCCATTCCAGTTGAGAAGCCGTGCGGTCTTTCGTTGGCTGTGGAAGGCTGAAAGATGTTCTGGACGGATCCGGAAATGTTATTAGCAACCATATTACGTCGAATAGAATTTGGACTGGCCGGAGTGTGTTTCAGTTCGGTTAAGGCTTTCACCGTTTCTGCAACCTTTATTCCTAAATGTGTATGAAAAAAGGTGGTGAGGAAACTTTTCAATTAATTGTATAATGTATATTCTTACCTGGATTTGGTATAATGTCTTTAACAGTGCCAAGTTGTTGCTGGCTGGGACTCTGTATTCCACTACTGATGGTGGGTTCCAATAGGAAAGCTGGAGGTGGAGGTAAATTTTCCAAACTCCCAATTGAACCACAAGTATTGGTAATGGAAGACGTCCTTCTTATTGGAGGCGGAGGTTTTTGGTTTTGCATGCTGCCTCTGCGCAGGAGATTGTTGCGAAGTGTACCCAGAGTATTCATTGCTAAACATACAATTTTAAAGCTAAATTATACACTAAAAGCGATAAATTATCTGTTTGTTTATATTATATAACTAGTAACGTGCAAAAAGTAAACTAAACATAACTTCTTTGGGAATGGCTGCAATGGAGTAAAAAAATGAGGCAGCTAGAATAAATTTTTGTAAAAACTTATTTTATTTCTTACTCAAGATTTGAATAAATGTGTATGTCCTGATACATGAAAACATCATAACATGCATTAAGCCGTGATATAAGCAATAGACAAATCAAACGAAATAATATATTATCCAATACCTACACAATAATTCATAAAATTAATCTCATCAAAATGTAATTATTACCCATAAATATTACTTCAAGCAACCGTTATAAACTCATGATGACGACTATAAACAATTATAATACCTGTCATTGATAAAGGTCTTCGCCTCTGGCCATCTACAGAGTCGTTGTGTCTGGGTAGAGTACAGTATTTGCTGGCTGCATTATTCATATTGGATTTTGTTACATCTAATTATAGGGAAAAAAATGAAAAACACACACACAAACCATGCAAATGAGAGGATGAATAAGGCCTGATTTTCGAGGCAAATGGCCTATTATAATCAATAAATTTTGTTGTTAGTGAACAATGAATAAATTCTAAAAAAAAAATCCATGCTGTATCGACTCTTGGAAAGAGCAACTTACCATCCATATGTTGATTATGATCTTCCATATTGAAGGTAGTATGACTGCTACCGTAGCCGCTGGAAGACTCCAAGGAACTTTCACTGGTGCTGCTTTCTTTTTCTGTTGAACCTTCAGGCTAAAAAAAGGACAACACTTGTCATATTTGCACGTAAAATTTTGAAGAGTTGAATTACCTTTTCGACAGGACTGATAAATTCTGCTGGAGGTGGCGGAAAGGCTGCTTGGTTTTGCTGCTGATTTTGTTGGACTTGTTGTTGTGCTTTGTCTACTGCCATGTTGGCCAGTTCGTGCATGTTAACGTATGTTGGTTGCTACAATAAAATAAACGACAATGAAAAAATTAAATCCTACTAAGCAAGAACTATGAAGAACGGCAATAAAGTTTATGATTGGATATTATTGAAGCGAAACTTCTTTACGCGCATGGGTAAAAATGCAAGGCCGTGATATAAAAAGCAATTTTATCACTGAGGGATTATGTAAAATATTAAATTTGCACTGTGATTAAATTAATCACGGAGTTCAAGATGTAGAAGCTTTAGCGAAAATTAAAAGGGGGTGACCCTAAAAAACGACTTAAGCTACTTAAATCAAGAAAAAACTCTAAGATCCCTCGTGAAAACTGCAGTCTCCGAGAAAATTCCTTGTGAAGATAAATTATGCAGGAACTTGTGATGTCACAACCGCCGAAATCGCAACCTTCTGTTTGTTCAGTCGTCAGTGAACTGACCCTATACTTTGAGTGGTTGAAATTCGCTCTAGTGAGATAATTGTCTTTTGTTTTTATTTATTTATTTATTTATTTACGGGCATGGCCCAATTTCATAAAGTAATGTAATACATATAACATTTTATACACAGAATAAACACGTTTTAATAATAATTATTTTTGAGGCAAACAAAAAATAGCACAACAGCTCCACTATTCTAATTTTAATTTATATCATTTTGAGGTTTGAGGTATAGAGATTTCAAGCTAAGGCACTCAACTGCTTTATAAACGCCGAGTCAGCCGTTTGCCAGTCTGCACGACCTGGATATAAAGCTATCCTGACCGTAGTTGGTTCTATGCGCCGGCACGGAAAAAGTATCCCTGAGGCGAGTTTCCCTAGAAGGCACATGTAAACCTATTTTATGCAACAACAAGGGGCAATTATATCTATTATGTATTAAGTAATATAGCATCCTAAGATCTTTCACATTCCGTCGGTGTTCAAGGCTTCTGATATGGATATTTGATTCCAACTGTGGGTATGTCAATTCGGGAGTATTAAGTTTAAAAGCGATGAATTTTAAAAATTTGTGTTGAACTTTTTCTATGTTTTGGATATGTACATTGTAGTGGGGATTCCAGACGCAAGAAGAGTACTCGAGATGAGTCCTTATCAATGAGCAATATAATTGTTTAATCACTCTAGTGTTAGTGAATTCACGGGTTATACGCTTTATAAAACCGAGCATCTGGAGAGATTTCGATAAGGCTTTGTGGATGTGTGGGATGAAAGTGAGCTTGGAGTCCAGCAGAAGACCTAAATCTTTGATTTCGGAGACGTTTTCGAGTATATCATTTTTAATCGAATAGGGATGTACAAAAGGTGATCTTGACTTATGGAAAACTATCGAATAGCACTTTGAGGAATTCAGATCCATCCCATTTCCGTTGCACCAAGCTACTAGATTATTTATGTCTGATTGTAGAAATAGACAATCATCCGGAAAAGTTATTTCCATGTAAAACTTCAAATCATTTGCGAAAAGGAGAAACTGACTGTGTTTGAAGTGCAATATTAGATCATTGATAAAAATGTTGAAGAGAAGAGGGCCAAGATGCGACCCCTGGGGAACTCCAGATGGTACTTGTATGTTTTTGGATTGAAAATTGTTGAACGTTGTTTGGAAAATTCTTACACGTATTAAAACTGTCCCTGATAATCCAGTGTGACGTCATAAACACCTTAATGTAATTTTAAATCGCCCTAACTCGGAAACGGAACATCGTAGCAAGATGCGGTTTAAATGCGGTTCTTAAATTTTTGTGCACTAAAACATTCATTTTTGGGTCACACCCACTGATCTCAAAAATAAATGGATAAACAAAGAACGCTTCTAATGCTGCTAATTTACGAGGTCAAAATCTAAACAAAAACAACTGACTGGGACAGCTGTGAGCGTGCGCAGTAGATACATGTATTGTGTGTGCACAAAATCTGGCCAATGAAAATGAAGGAATTTCAAAATTTAGAACAGTTGTTCGAAAGATAAGACACTGCGCAGGCGTTAGGCTGTTCCGTTGCACAACTGTTCGTAGAATAGTCAATCAAGCCGTGTGAATTGTTTATCCATTTATTTTTTAGACCAGTGGTCACACCCCTTTAATAATGAAACTGAAATTATAATTAATTTATGTAATGGATCTTTCAATATAGAAACAAAATGCTTAGTGATTCCCCATATTACTGGTAAAATACCAACAAAATCTTTCAATAAAAATGCCTTAAGAATTCCTTTGAATATAAAATTGGCAGATCCAAATGTTCATTTATCAATTAAAATATTGATTTGCTGATAGGATCCCATGTTTTTTGGTCCATTTTACTATCAGGGTGTTAAAGGTTCAGCACCAACATGCCAATTTTGCAAAATACCGAATTTGGTTGGATGATTGCGGACAATTTATATTTAAATTGTTTCGAATCTGAGTCGCTTACTTGCTTAAGCTTGAATAATGAGCCAGACTTGTCAACGGAGGAAAAATATTTCAAAGAGACAAGTAGAAAAGATATTTCTGGATAATATATAGTCAAAATTTCTTTTAAAGATTCAGTCTATGAATTGGCACTAGATAGGTTTGATTTACTAGAAAAAAAAATCAGAATTTATGTTTGAGTATTTATATTTGAATCATATGTCTGAAGTTGAGTCAACAAATGAAAGCGGATATTTTTTTGCCGCATCACGCTATTATAAAACAATCCAGTCTGACTACAAAATGAGTGGTTTTTGACGGGTCGGCTAAATTAAGTTCAAATTTATCCGTGAATGATGTGCAATACGTTGACTCTTCTCTACAAGATATATTTCTGATATTAAGAGGCCAACAACAAATTCAAGCGCGCGAAATTCATTCTTTGTCGCCGAGTTCAAAGTAGGACCGTGATAGACGACGTTACGGCAAATATTTCCGAGATAACGGAAGGGTGTGATCAAATTGCATGGAAGGTGAATAATAAATCCTATGAGCTTTTGTGGAGGCAAAACTAATACACCTATCATATTTAATATAAATTGAAAAGTATACAGTTATAATAATACTTTTATAATTTACATTGTGCTTTTTATTTAACAAATAAGAATGTGGAGAATGAAATGTGCGGAAACACAAAAATATATTACAAAGATAATAAAATTTACCTATACAAATACAGCAAAATAGATACTTGAAATGTTTACACAAAAAAAAAGTGAGGTGGCGTAGTTACGAGGGTGGGAGAGATGATGTTTATTCGTTTATTACATAAAGAACTTCCAGAAAACCTAGAAAAATAATAAACATTGGTGAGATTGCTCATGAAAACCTCGGACACATCGATTTTTGATTTCAGTTGCCGTTTTTCTGATGGTAATATCATGTATACAGGGTGACCCAGAAACAAGTTGTGACCGCTAACTTTATTTTTTTAAATCAAAACATTAATTTTGAAGTGAAAACTTCTTTAGAATCGTTGGGAGTGATGTGAGACTCGATGAAACGAAAAAGCGACATGACACTTTTTTAACACGCTTATATTAACACACAACAAGAACCTGGAACAAGCCAAGTGAGCTGGAACAAGTCTGGAAAATGTCTGGATAAATCTGGATGAAGTCTGGAAATCTCTGGAAACGTCTGGAAAGAGCCCGGAAATTTCTGGAAAGGGTCGGAAAAATGCTGCCAAAGGTCCCAAAAGACCTGGGGATCATTCTCCAGAATCCGGATCAGTCTGTACAAGTCTGGATAAGGTCTGTTTAAATCTGGATTAAGTCTGTAAAACTCTGGATAAGTCTGGATATTGTCTGGAAAAGTCTGGAAACGTCTGGAAAAGACTTGGAAATTTCTGGAAAGGGTTGGAAAAATTCTGAAAAAGGTCTCAAAAGACCTGAGGATCATTTACCAGAATCCGTATCAGTCTGAACAAGTCTGAATAAAGTCTGGATTAATCTGGATGAAGTTTGGAAAACTCTGGAAAGCTCTGGATAAGTCTGGATAATGTCTGGAATTCTCTGGAAACGTCTGGAAAGAGCCCGGAAATTTCTGGAAAGGGTCAGAAAAATTCTGCCAAAGGTCCCAAAAGACCTGGGGATCATTTTCCAGAATCTGGATCAGTCTGTACAAGTCTGGCTAAGGTCTGGATAAATCTGGATTAAATCTGTAAAACTCTGGATAAGTCTGGATATTGTCTGGAAAAGTTTGGAAACATCTGGAAAAGACTTGGAAATTTCTGGAAAGGGTTGGAAAAATTCTGAAAAAGGTCCCAAAAGACCTGGGGATCATTTTCCAGAATCCGGTTCAGTCTGAACAAATCTGGATAAAGTCTGGATTAATCTGGATGAAGTCTGGAAAACTCTGGATAATGTCTGGAAATCTCTGGAAACGTCTGGAAAAGGCCTGGAAATTTCTTGAAGGGGTCGGAAAAATTCTGGAAAAGGTCCCAAAAGACCTGGGGATCATTTTCCAGAATCCGGATCAGTCTGAACAAATCTGGATAAAGTCTGGATTAATCTGGATGAAGTCTGGAAAACTCTGGATAAGTCTGGATAATGTCTGGAAATCTCTGGAAACGTCTGGAAAAGGCCTGGAAATTTCTTGAAGGGGTCGGAAAAATTCTGGAAAAGGTCCCAAAAGACCTGGGGATCATTTTCCAGAATCCGGATCAGTCTGTACAAGTCTGGATAAATCTGGATGGAATCTGGAAAACTCTGGGAAGCTCTGAATAAGTCTGGATAATGTCTCGAAAAGTCTAGAAATCTCTGGGGCTGACACGCTATTATAATACATCGAACTAAAAAGTGAAAAATAAATGTATTTTAAAAAAACTAAAAAACACGCTTTTATAGTAAATTGAACTAAAAAGTGAAAAATAATTTTTTTCTACAAACGTGTTAAAAATGCAATTTTTAACACTCCCCCGAAGCATTAAAAATGTTACTTTATCGCACTAGTGCCATAGAGTCTTTATAGCACTAGTGTTAAAAATGAAACATCAAATTTTGAGAGCGAACGTCAAAAAAAGTTTGTATTTTTAGTTATTTACAT